TTATATATCTTGCTTCCATGTTTGTGTCCTGTGTCACTAAAATACATTCTATTTTAGTTTTATACATTGATAATTGACCTGCAGAATCTCCTTATCGTATTAGGTGTCCATAACTGTCACTTACAGACAAACCTTATGCTTTCTCCATCTTGAAAGTGATTACACTGATGTATTACATACTTTAGGTTTATTTTTTGCAGGCAGGTTTCTAAAAAAAAAAACAGGCAGATTTAGAATATAACATGCAGCGTTCTATAGGTGGACGCATAAAAAAATGAAAAATTACATGTATGTGCCTACTTTCTAAACACGTTCATTGTTACATTTGTGATAAATGAATTAGAAAGTAGATAAAACACATTTGTGTTGGCTTTGGCTCATTAAAGTTTTTGTCTTTAAATTAGTTTTGTCTTTGTATGTTTCAAGAAATCATTGTCTCTGAATTTTGTAACCACCGATAAGGGCCAGGGTTTGGTGGGAAACTGACCTCGAAGTTGAGCTTAGTGCAGAAGCATGGTCCAGAACTTTTAGATCTGCCAAGAAATTGTTTTCCTGTAGCAGACTTCAGGAAAGCCATTACAGAATCTTATATAGACTGCAGCGTACCCCAGAGTTTTAAAATAAAATTTCTCAGATTTCTCCTCATTGTGTAATGTGCAATATGGATGTGGGGACTTACTGCCATTGCATACGGCAATGTCCTTTAATTACTAGATTTTGGAAGAACATTGCTATAGAGCTTTGCTCAATCTTTCACCAGACGATCCCACTGAACCCTGTCCTGTTCGTTTTGGGTCTATCTATCGAAGGGCTTTCTCTGTCTTCTGTACAAATGCTTTTGTTATGTAAACTTTTACATTTAGTGAGGCGATGTGTACTGTTTCAATGGATTCAGAGACAGCACCCCACTGTTACACAATGGTACAGAGAAACGTTCAAGGCGCTGCCAATGGAGCGCCTTAGTGCTATCATAAAGGGCAATTGTGATGCATTCTGTAGGATATGGCAGCCTTTGCTTGATCACCTACCTCGTGACCTTGCTGTGCTATTGCATAAAGGGGGATCACATTTTGTTTTTAAACATATTAATTAATATCTGTATTCCCTCTTTTTTTCCCTTCTTTCCCTTGACTTTAAATGTGGAACACTGTACATATTTTGACCCAGTACATGTACATGTACACTTGTAACTCATGTACCTGTATTTGTTTTTTTCTTCCTCTTCTTGTTGTTTGTATTTGGCTGTGCTGATTTGTTGCTGTTTGTATTGTTCCAAAAAAAATCAATGAATCATTGTTTAAAAAAACTGAAACTTCAGTAAAGCTGCTGAATATCAGCATTTCAGGTTTATTTTAAACGACACTTACTATTGTGTTTATTGTGTGAGTGTAGAAAACTCCTATGCACTCCTCGGTAATTTCACTTTCAAAATTAATGGTGAAAAGAGAAATTACATTTTATTACTTCTGTTTATGATTGCTGACTATAAATAATACATTTTATGGTAGAAGCCAGGGACCATATAAAATCTGACCTAGGGCCATGATTGGCCCCCTGACTGGACTATGGGCACGCTTGCCATAGAATCTCATGTTAAAATCCCCATCTTTACAATATCAAAAGAATGGAGCCACACTTTCAGTTTTGGGGTTTGGAACTGGAAATCCCACAGGACCTAAGCTCTGTTGTTGTCAACCACCTTTGGGTGTGTTGGGGACTTGGGGACTTCTAATCTATATGCTGGACAAATTTTCCTGCACACTGCCCCAGCCACTCATTTGTGCCTCTTAGAGTATGATGTCCCAGCTTGCGTTTTACATCCTGTTACTATGTATTGGACAATCTCCAGGGTAATTTTGCAACTTGGGTACACAGATATACTAACACTTTTGTTAACTTGTCTGAACTTAGATTATTCCCAAATTTTTTCAACAGTATTAAAAAAGTGGAAAACTTTATAAATTAAATTAATATTTATTCCAAGTTTTGAATAAATGACCTTGAATAAAAATGGCATTCAATTCATATTTCATAATAATAAATAATATTCCTGTCTGGTCATATTTACTCATAGAATCTTGGAGCTTTTAATAACTGCTACCTGTTGTCTAAACTGTGTGTGTAAGGACTTGTTGGAATTTAAACTCTGCAGTTCAGTCACCTTCTGTGGGCTTATTGGTCATGAGTTCCTGTAGAAATAAGTCCCTTCATTTATGCCCTGCCCCCTTCTCACTTCTTTACAGTCAGTGTCTCTAGCAGGTGATCTGTAAATCTGGTGGGACCTCCTGTGTGCGTCCTGTGAAAAAGATCTCTGCCGGTTATTTGAACACTGGCAGAGACTTGTTGAACACTCAGCTAGACAGATATAGCAGCAGCTGGAGAAACAGTATCCTAAACGGGCACCGCAGTATTCAGTCTTTTACACTTCTCTGCTGTACCATTGCTCTTCAAGATCTTTCTGGATAAAAAGACTAAAAATGGAGATTACACTTGAAAATGACAAAAACGGCTCCTCAAACTTTGAGTACAAGGGTGCTCACCAGGCATTCAGGGACCGCTGGAAAGGGACAGATGACACCATGTGTCGCCACAGCATGTCCTTTCACCTACACCACACACTGAGGAGTGAGTTCTTTGCCAGCTACCTGTACCTGCTAGAGAAGGTTCCACTGGGTAAGTTGGGTCATAGAAATGTACTAAAATCTTTTCTTGAATGTTGATTTCATGACAGGTGTGATGTGTTCTTCTCTTCTTTTCATACCCATGTTTTGCCAAAGTCAGGTTGCTGAAATAGCTAAAATAACAAAAGGTTGTTCTTACTGCACCTCACGGCACATTACAGACTCCTTCGGATAATGTTGATCCTAATTCTTAGAGGGTATCTAGACAGTTACTCGTAAATATTGATTTGTATGACTTTAAGTCCTGCATCACCACCACTGCACTTACCTAGAATGCCAGAATTTACCTCTAACTATGGCTTGTTCTCAGATTTAGTTAACTTATGTCTTTCCAATGGTTCAATGGTAACTTTATTGTCCCCAATGGGAAATTGATTTGCAGTATGTCCATACACAAAAACAAACAACCACACACACACACAGTTGAAAGTCTTGGAAAGAACTTGAACAGAGTTCACAGAAGGTGCCCACCGAACCTAAAGGCTTTGAAGACTGAGGAAAAATGGGCCACAATCACACCTGAGCAATACGTGCGAGTAGTTCCTCCATACGGGAGGTGTTTTGAAGTTGTCATCACCACAAAAGGCTTCTGTACAAGGTATTAAATAAATTAAAATAAGGGTGTTCAATATTTTTCTCCCTATGCGATTTTTCATTGTTACACACAACTTAATTTATGGACATCTATGTTTTAATTTCTTTATTACTTACTGCAGTCAGGTGTTCCAGCCATTCTCAAGATGTTTTTCTTGCTTTCTCAGATTATCTGAGATTATTGCTTTGGCATTCACCTTCATAGGCTTCTTCCTTATGTGTTTTGGACGAGTTCACCTTTTTGTTTTTGTTTCTGCTAACTGTTTTGTTGACTTAGTAACTGAAAGCACGTGTCTGACTTCATAAATCTCTTATTATCTCTTATTCTTGGACTGACTAACTGACTGTCTACATCTCCCTACTCTTCTCCCTACTTAACCATTGCAGTACATCTTTTTGCAACTCTGACAATCACCTTTATGGTCAGAGATGCTTTATAGCAGGGGTCTCAAACTTGCGGTCTGGGGACCACTTGCTGCCCACGTCACCCGTACTTGTAGTGACGTGAAGAAATATAATGCAATTTGGCCCTTGAAGTTCCTTTTGTTGATAGGGAGGATTTGTTTGTTGTTGAGTTCAATGTTAAAATAAATTCTTTAAAAAGCAAAAAATGATTTAATATGAAAGCAGTATGAGCAGAGAGTACAAACATGTTGAGGGATTGGCTGTGTCAGTTCATTAAGGGAGATATTTGTAAAGAAAACAATTTTCACTAGCAGTCAAAAACTAATGTGTACACATATGTCTGATTTTTTATTTTGCTAAATACAAAAAAGGTTATAGCAGAAATGCTGCCATGTGTCTCACCAGAAAGAGAGTACCAATTTGTTTATTTGGTAGTTCAATGAAGGGCTTCAGTTAAAGAGTGAGAAAAAAAAAATATATTTGCGCTCATGTTTGCAGTTTTGCCTTGTTATACAACATTTAAATTTTTTTAAAAAAAAAGGCAAAACACTACATTTTCAGAAATATTTTTGTGTGTTTGTTTGTTTTTTTGTACTACTTGAGCACTAACGTAGCCCTCCAATGAGATGACACTGCCAGCAGTGGCCCACAGCTCATTTAAGTTTGCTTTATAGGCTTCAGGCTTTATGGGAGCAACCCCTTAAAGATAAATTTCCCCTATCACTGATTAGTGCAGATGTATAGTTTGCAGGACATGCAGTGTCCACTATAACAATAGCTCTTTTTCCTTTGTTATATTTTTTGTATGTAGTCTAAATAGATGTTTAGTGACTGTATATCCAGAATAGTCATTTATTTGCACTAGATTTAATTGCATTAATTGCATTACAATATAAAATGTTATGTTTACCTACCAAATACTTAAACATTCTCACATGTGCATGTTCATGACATTGTGTCCTTGTACATTTCTATACTTTGACATTTTTTTAAAAAAAAGTGTGAATGCAACTTAAACATGTAAAATTATATATATATTATATAAAAGATTTTAAGTTCCCTTTATTCTATATAGATTAAGTAGCCCTTTTCCTACTTTTGCTACCTTATTTCCTAAAAGGTTGACACAGCAGATGGAATACATATGTAATTTGGCACTATTTAAATGTATTAGCTTATTTATTTTATATCAGATGCCATTTGTAATGAAATAGTCCAAGTTATCACAACATGTGTACATACATTGGATCCATCCTACCTTGTTTCAGAAAGTTAAGTCTGGTGCGGTAATGATGTGATATGATATTTTGGGATATTTTCTTGGCACACTTTGGGCCCCTAGTATCAAGTGAGCATTGATTAAATTCTATACCTTAATATCCAAACCGGACCCATCTTCTAACAGCTGCTTTCAGCAGATTAATGCACCATGTCAAAAAGCTCAGACAATCGCAGCCTGGTTTCTTGAACATAAAATTGAGTTAATTGTATTTAAATGACCTCTACAATTAACAGATTTCAATCCAAAAGGGCACCTTTGGCATGTGGCAGAATGGGAAATGCCTCATTGCTCCCTCGTGGCAGCTGACAAATGTGCAGCAACTGTGTGATACTATCATGCCAAAATGGATCAAAAGCTCTGATATTTTCAACATCTTGTAAAATCTTCTAATTAAGGTAGAGGCATAAGGGGGCAACCTAGTAAAAGCAAGGTGTACCTAATAAAGTGGACAGTAATAGTACAACTCTTTCCTTAGATAGAAAGGTGATGTGGATATTTTCATGTAATGGTCACACTAGGGTTGCTGCATACACCTCCAGTATATTGCACTTCGCCTATCACTAAAAGATAAAAAGCATGTGAATCCTTTTTAAACAACAACAAACAACACCACTGTTCAATAAGCTGTGGTGTGACCTGCACATTTCTGCTTCCAGCCTATCCAAAAGACTTATACTATTAGCAAACAGAAATTCCTGGTAATGTTACTTGAAATAAAAAAATAAAATTACTCATTGACTACAAGAAAGGATCCTGAAATGTCTAGAGCCATACGAGATCAACAGGACCCTAAAAGTCTTCATCAGGAACTCAGTAGGGATGTGGCAAACAACAGAGAGAACATAAAGAATTTTGATGAAGAATTTATATAAAATACCTTCTTATCATTGTGTTAGTTTCCCAAGCAGCTACAGAAAATATATAGGCATTTTAGTAAAGTATATATTGCCTATATATGGCCAAATGTACTCCCCATCTGTCTTAGTATGCATATGAACCTGAGACCCCATTTTTAATCCAAGGGATTGAATATGATGTTGGTCCAGCTACAACAGCTTCAACTCTCCTAGGAAGGCTTTCCACAATCTTTAGAGGAGTGTGTTGGAAGTGTTGGAACAGGAAGGGACGGATCCACAAATGGGAGCATATTATTGTCTGAATTATCTATGCTGAAGTATTAACAGTTCCTTTCACTGCATCTAAGGAGCTCGTCTCCTGAAAAAGAACCCCACATCATAATCCCCCCTTTACCAAACTTTAGGGTTGGCACAGTCCACCCAAGCAAGTACCGTTCTCATAGCAACCACCAAACCCAGACTCAGCCATCAGACTGCTCTGCTCTTTTATACACATGCAGCCATGGATGTGACTGAAAAACTTGACTTTAATGATTTGGATTGATGAGTGAATGGATATGGCAATATAGGTTATTGCCATATCTATTGCTTAAGGGGGTTCTCCAAATTTAAATTCAAGAGGTCACTTGACTTTAAGCAGCAAATACAACTGATATCAGTGTAAAGACAGGATTTTTGTGGCTTAGATGAAGAGTTGATTGGAGTTGATGAGCAATTGGTTGTAAGTCCTGGTAATTCCAAATGTTTTCGACAACTTAGCCTTTCTTCCAAGTGCTGAACCATATGTGTAATGAAATTTTTTATTAACAGAAACAAAGTAAAATTTCTTTTGTAGCTTTGTTTTTATACCATTAAACAGTTACAGGATAGCAATTTGTTAGTGCTAATGCTAGTGAGTGAATTGACATATATGAATCATTAATGGTTAGTACATTCATAAAAAAGTGTCATTGGAAGCACTGCAGTGCATTAACAGTTTAAATAATAGCTAATCATCTCCAGAGTGCACTCATGTCTATCATGAGATCATGGGCTGAACAGCAGCAACAGGAGATCTTGAGCTGTAGGTCATTCAGACTCAAACGTGTCTTATTTTCTTACCATTCATTTGATACAAGGACCATTAATGGAATGACATATCATGCATGAGAGCACTTACTCATGTCAGACAGTGCTATGCCGTCTGATCTACCATCAGACGGCTGCAGTCAGGTCATTTACTAACAGCATGACAGATTAATCCTCCCCCTTGTATCATCTAAGCAAGTATTCTGTTACACAGAAAGTCCAAGATCAGCTTCTAATGAGCTGGTGCACTTTCAAGGTGTGAGCTAGATGTACAGTTTGATTGGCAGACAAGTGTGCTATCAAGCTGTCTTCAGGTCTTCTCCGTTCTTCTCGACGTTTCTATACTTACACTTCCTCTGAAAGCTGTCCTGAGAGATAACATGACAAGTAAACACCAGTTGTAGGTGCTTTGATCAAAGCTGTTACTGTGAGAAAAATGTTAGGTCATAACCACATTTGTCTCCTTTTACATCTTATTTTAGTGAGCCTTGCCAGGTGCAGCATGATTAAGCCACCGTGTCATGAATCATGCTATTAGTTATCAAACTGACACATTTCCCTCAGCCTCCTCCCCGAAACAACTTGTTACGAAGTCAGTGACAAGGAATATGTTCATTTATTACAGAATTTATTTCAGCTCAGTAGAGCTGAAGTAGTGGAAGTTTGGGATAGTTTAAAAAGCGAATTATAAAGTTTCTTGAAAGGCAATATCGAAATTTCAGTACTGTATACATTTCTATTATCAGCCTCCCAGTAATAAAACTTATTCATTTTAAACATTTGTAAATTCACAACAGTAACTTGAATCAACCACATGGTTATCATGTACCATATAACAGCTGAGCTGAGTGTAGGAATACTACACCGCATCCCTATTTATAGTAGTGATCAAATTATCATTCTACATTTCCTATGGGACTGAAACCATCTTCATACAGAGCAGTCTCGTGTCATCTTTGTAATGCTTTGGAAAAACTCAAACCAGTCAAAAATAATCATATCAAACTAATTGATCATTATTTAAAACAGACATTATTCTTATAAATTCATATCTGGTAAACTTCTTAACACTTTAGCTCCCACTATAGCTCATTACATGTGTTGATGTAATGTGTTGTCACATTGTAACACATGGGTTATTGCTATAGCATAATTTTGCGAAATGGTGAAGTCTAAAAACTAACACAAGTTTGAAGTCTGAAGTGGTGGCAATGACATTCTCACTCACCCTCAACCAAGGGCACAAACACCTCAGAGGGTGCTTCCACAGTAACCACACGTTACATGAAAAGATTAGGTAATCTGAAAGAACTGAGTGGATATAATAGATTTTTGCAGAACACAATTTAATATTAGTGGATAAGCATTACAATACAGAAACTAGGAATAAGCACGGGCAATGTTTATAATTTACTGGCATCAGCTCTTGTTGTAAGGTGTTGGTGTTAACTATAGCGCCACTGAACTATATTTAGAGCAAAATACCATGCCTATTTTGTGCCTGATGCGGTTGTGACAGTTGCTGCTAAAAATGGGGAAAGCTGTGAGTGTAGTTCCAGAACTTTTTCTCTGTCCTGCACCCTTATCCCAAATGTTTAAATGTTTAGTCTCACATAATTCTGGTCCTCAATAATATTTGTATCTCATACAGAATACAAGACACATTAAAGGATGAGTCTTGTGACTGTCATTGAATAGTAATAAACAGTCTGTGTAGTTGGTCATCACAAGTTTTGTGTTGCAGGCTACAAGTGACAATAGAGCACCAGACAATTGTGTTCAAATGACGTTCTGGGTTTTATGATAGGTCACCCGGTATGTTTGTCCATGTGTTCTAACAGTGAAGCTGTTCCCAGTCACCTGTGAGTACATCAAAGGAGAGAAACAGTTCTACTACAGAGCTCAGAAGTTCTACGAGGATGTTCCTGCCTCAGAGGAGGGCATGATGGGAGATTTCGTAGAAATATCCCATGTTGATCTGGAAGGTTCCCTTCAGTTTTTGAAGAAGTTCGTGGTAAGTCAAAAGTTAGTACCTCACATTCAATTAATAGAATCCAGGAAAAACAAATGTGGGAAATTTTCACGCATAGTGGTCACTACAGTGGGCAGCTAGTCAAAGGCTGTTTTCTTGTATTTGTGTGAGTGTTGATGGTATACTTGAACATAAACCACCCCATTGGACACTGATGTGTCACTCCATACCCTGCCACCCACTGATCGTTTAATGTTACTATGATGTGTTTCATTGTAATTATTGTTATTTAACCCTGCAATACATGAATTATGACAACCTTTTTTTTTAAAAGTATTTTTATTCATCTTTTCATGCCTAAAGATGAATAAAAATAGCTTTTAAGCTTTAAAGTATATGCTTTGCATGCACTTTGTCATAGTTTCTGCATATTGTCCTGTAGTATATCAATTTGCAATGTAGCTCTTAGTGTACATGCCAGAATCTATTTTTGGTGACAAATCTGTCATCCTGATTGTACAAAACAAATTATTGTTTCGTGATGATGGCGCCTCAGTGCAAATTCTAATTATACTATAGTTGTGATGGCAGCCTCATAAACACCCACACAGAGTGAGCTGAGCCAACAGCTGGTAATCACTTTGTACTATAGTTTTGTTTTTTGTTTTTTTAAAAAACAGTGCTAACTTCTGTACAGTGAACAAAGAAAGGAATCCTTTAATGTTCTGGGTTTGTCTGTGTGTGTGTTGCTGCTGTAGACAGGGGAGTCAGGCTACATGCCCTTTATTTCCAAACTCCTAAGACTGCTTAAAAGGAACTACAGACACTTAGGGGGCGTCCTTTCTCTAGCAGTAATATAACCATATAAAATTAAAATGCTCAAAAAGCATAAAGAAAATGGGAAATCGGGGCAGCAATTTAAAAATTAATGTATACAGTGGACTGAAGATATTGAAAACATTGTGAATTTTCATATTCTATATCAATTTCAACTTGGCAGAGATAGGGTTAATGATTTAGTGTATTTCAAACAGGCCAATAAAACTGGGAGCCAATTTTTTGGACTCAGAGAGCTATGTTCATAGGAGGGGACATCTGAGGGTACAGTAAGCTCACCTTCAGTGGCTGGGAATGAGGTGGCTCCTAGCCAAGCGATGCTTCAAAGGTTAATAGGCCCATAGCAGCAGAGGTCATGGTATTGTGGGCGTATTCTACCCACACCAGCTTGGAGTGCCATATTGACAGGTTGGAGGAGACATTGCACTGAAGAGGGACCTCAGTCCAAAACTCCCATACACGAGAGCTGAACTGGAGCCACTAGTTAGAGATGATGTCAGAAGGAATGCTGTGGAGTCTGAATGCGTCCACCAGGCTATGGTGGACTCGGGTTCTATGCAGACCCTGCCCCACCAAACCCTGGTTTGGCCTGGGGCATTGCTGGAGGCAGAGTGTTTGGAGGTTAGATGTGTGCATGGGGACAGCCACAAATATCCCATAGTGCCGCTTCAGCCAATTCTCCTATTAGCAGCAAACTGTCGGAGTGGGAGACTAGGCACAGCACAGTAGGGAAAGAGTGCCTGGTCTTCCAGTGGGCAATCAACAATGCTCCTTCATTATTACCTCCTGGGCTGCCTTTTCACCCTGTGTTCGGATGGGTGATGGAACTGCAGTGCCTCCGTCGCATGAAGGATGCCAACGTCCGGATCACCTGGTGGCATCTGGCTCTCCACCAGGTGGTCCATAGGCCAGGGATGGAGATGGTTGTCACTGATTTCCTCTCCTGCTCGGCTAGGCTAGGCCTAGATGGCTCTCCAGTCTAAGTCAGGCGATGGGGGTTTGTGGCAGGGTGTGGCTTGTGGCTTAGCTGCAGGGGGGGAGGGGGGGATCAGTGGCTTCAGGGTGTGGTGTTGGGGGAGGGCTCTCACACACATAACCTGCATCATCTGATTATGTCTCCCCATTGTGTGTGGCGTAAAGCAGGAGGAGGGCAGCTGGAAAGTTGCTGCAAGGACATTCTGAAAATAAAAGCACTCAACCTACACTGCTGTGTGGTGGGTTCTTTATCGTGGCACTCTCATCAGTTGAATGTAAAGATGGTGAATGATGAGTAAAAAATCTATGTGTGTGTCTGGCTACATATTATTATTCTCTTCCAAAGTATCTTCCCTGGCTGTGAACAGCTTCTGTTTACACCTGACATTTCCATTAAAAAAAAGTGTGGCAGGAAAAGATTTAGAACGCATCCAGATTAAAGAGAGCTACATAAGCGCACAGCAATATGGCAGTAATTCACTGAAACCAAGAAGCTTCCTGTAACAGAGCTCTGTGGGCCCCCATACTTTCCTACAATCATAAACTGGGGTCCCTGATGTGGAGGGGTTGTAGTGAGGTCAGAATACCAAATGAAGAGGAAGAAAACCAGCACAAGTCAAGTGAGGTGACTTTTTATTCCCTTGTGGTAAAGTTCATTGCTTTGTTACCCTAAGGAACTGGGGTTGATTTGTTTGGTACTTTTGAGCATTAAAGCTTGACACCTGGTAACATAAAACAAAAAGTATAGAACTTTTTATGATTTAGACATGATAATAATGCACTTCTAGAAGAACAAGAAAGATTTAAGCATCTTTTTCTTTTCTGTAAAATTGAAAATCTCATTTTATGACTACATTTGCTTTATAGACAGTCTGCATTTTCCTAACTTTAAACTCTAAGTATCCTTCAAAATTATTTTGATTAAAGTTATATGAGTCTATCATTTCTTTTTCTTTTTTCTTAACAACAGGGGCCCGGTAATGCGGGCACCCAGTGTGCTCTGGATTGTGGCTGTGGGATCGGGCGGGTAGCCAAAGGTGTGCTCCTTCCTGTGTTTGAGAAACTGGAGATGGCAGACATGATGGAGCACTTCCTGCTCCATGCACATGAGGAGTACCTGGGTGACGATGCTGACCGTATTGAGACCTACTACTGCTACAATCTGCAAGAATTCACACCTCCAAAAAACAAGTATGATGTCATATGGATGCAATGGGTGGCATGTAAGTATGAAGGTTATCGATACACTCTGCTCATGAAAGATCAGGTATATTGATATATTTGAATTGTCATCTATTGTACAATGATGCTTCAAATTGTATACTTATGAAGATACAGTATACTCTTAAGTACCTCATTATACTTAAGAGTATACTGTATCTTCATAAGTATACAATTTGAAGCATCATTGTACAATAAATGACAATTCAAATATCCTCATTATACTTATACTTTTAGACTTAGAGGTACAATGGCTTGTCACTTAACTGCTGTCCTCTAAGTTACTGCCCATGTACCCTTGACAGAAAGCACTTATACCCTTGGCACTTTATCTACCTTATCTTTGGCTGATACAAAATACAGATACAAAATAAAACTTTTCCAAATATTTTGCATGCTGTTGTAATTCTGCAAACTTGTTGATGCATTTTGCACTTTTTCAAACAGAAGATCCTAAAATTCTTTAAAAAATGTTCCTAGGTTCTATTTTTATATTTGTGCTTATGAATTATTCTAATCTCATATTGTTCTCCTTGTATATTATGTATCTCTAGTTTATTTTAGATAACTTTTTAACGTTTATTAGTTCCCTTTGGCATTCCCTTTCTGTCCTTTTAGTCTCATATCTGTATTTTGTAGTTTAGTGTCATTTATGTTAAGTTTGCCATGTCTCCATGTTTTTTTACTTTTTGTCTGCGTCAAGCTCACATTGCCCTAATCTCTCAGTGTTTGTGCGTCCTGATTCATTTTGATAGTCCCCTGTCTCGTGTGCTTTATGTCCCCCCCGTCTCGTTATGTCTAATTTGTTACTCCTGTGTATCACAGTGTCTCTGCTCCCCTAATCACCCTCCTGTATGAATATATTGTGTCAGTCTCCCTTTGTCCTTGAGCGTCAGCTCATTTTGCCTAATGTGTCCGAGCTCCTTGTACCTCATAGTATGTTTCCCAGTTCATTTTGTGTAATTTGAAGTTTTCAGTTCCTTTTGTATTTCATGTCTAGCTTTTTGTTAATGAATTATCTTCTTGATAAACGACGTGACTTTTGTTAAGATTATTCTGACTCAAGGTGTTTGCATTTGGGTGAGATCACAGTCACTGGACTTCCATAGTTCTATTGGGGGACTTGATGATTTCTGCAGTAACTAATAAATCAGTTAGGAGTGACTATTTTTCCTGTCTTTCCCTTTAGGCCACCTAACAGACAAGGACCTGATGAACTTCTTGTTTCGCTGCAAAAAGAGTCTGCGTCCAAATGGTGTTATCATAATCAAGGATAATATGGCTAGGCAAGGCTGCAAGCTGGACCCCATCGATAGCAGCATTAGCCGCCACCTGGACATCATGAAGACCATCATTGCCAAGGCTGGACTGGAGGTCCTGGCTGTTGAGAGACAGGGAGGCTTCCCTGAGGTCATTATGCCTGTCTGGATGATTGCTATGAAATAGAAGAGACAATTTTAGTGCAAACAGCTTAAGCTTGTGGTTTGCTTTAAAAACACAAAGGAAAATTCAGCTCATAGCTGAGTTCACTTGATATTTCAGGATTTTTTTCTGCTCTTTATATCTTTATGACATCAATGATCTTGATCTTGTGGTTCGGACTAAAACAATGGAATAACGTGCATCCTTATTTACTACTGGATTTTAGTTTAAGTTTTTAACTAAATCAAACATCAACAACAAATATGAATCATGTAAGATTTAAAAACAAAACGTTGCACAAACTTGTAATATATATCTGGATACATTGTCTGGAAAATGGCATATTATTTTTGTTAATAATATGTTATTTTTGTTATTTTTGTTGCATGCAGTGGATGGACACAGATACCATGCCATTTCAATTGGTTTTGCTAAGGTGTAAACTAACTTTTAAAAGCTTGTTTAGAAAACTTGACAGCAAACAGCCGGGATGGTTCAGTATGTCATCATACTGTGTATTCTGGGAATGCTCAACAGTTAAGAAGTACGGTGGCCCCTAAAGACAAAGCACGTACAAACTGCTCCATGATGCTAGGGGCAGTGTTTAGCTTGATTTGCAAAATAAATGGCAAGTTTGTTGCAAACACATGGAGTTGGATACCGGCGGGAAACACCTGCAAGGATAGAACAACCACACTTTATAAGAAAGGTAATATGCAAACTGTTGTTTGTTTAATTTTTTTTTAATTACTATGAACGCATAACTTAAGGTGGAGTCAAATCTGACGTTAACTAACAGTCAGTGTGCTTTGCTCAGAGAGAAGCTCAACACTAGGGATGGGTACCGGTATCGGTTCTGACATAAACGGTAGTAACCAGACCGAAAAGCAGCGCACATTTCGGTGCTTTATTTCGGTGCTTTTTTTCCCTGAGATGTCATACACTTTGGATTCTAGCCAATCATTTTACGTTTCCGAGGATAGTAGGCGGGC